CCTGTTCGCATATTCCAGAACAATGGCGGCCAGCCGTGAGTCTGACTCTTCTTCTTGATCCTTTTTATTTACCTCGGGCGGGGTTCTTCAGCGGTGATATTCCCTCGAAGTTGCAAATTAGCAATCTAAATTTCGTTAACCTTGTGGGAAGTGCCAATACAAGTCAGCGTAAGTCCATGTAAAATTTAATAGTGTTCGTCAGGTTGATAGGCCTTCTAGTCGTGGATCTAGAATGTAGCCCTGCGGTCCCATGCCGCAATATTCGTTTCCAGAACTTTAATATCCAAGCACCCAAAGGAGAAAAGCCGATCCTTACTTGCAGTAACATTAGTGTAACGGGTTTACCAGGGTCGTGTAATGCGCCTAGCAACTAAATGTAGCTGCATACTTAAGCAACGATTTAACATGTAGATATATTGAGCAACTTATATCCTTCTAACTTGAGTTGGACTGCGAATCATTTAGAACGGATATATTAACGAAAGATACAGTAAATAAGGAAGAACTATAATAAAATCTAGAGTCTGATATATATATAACCAGTGGCTTAAACTGAGATGTCTGTTACCGAGGGTATAGTGATAACAGGATTGTTGTCAAAGAACTCTTCCCATAGCCTGTAATCCGAAAAGTCCATCTCTACGTACTTTGGATCAGGAGGATCGGGATAACAGGTAGCCTCTTCAAAGGTCATTCCAAAGAAGGTCTGAAAGTCTTCGAAGAAATCGTTTTGCTGCTTTGTTTCGGCCGGCTGAACAAGCTTGAGTTCCATATCAACGTCCATGTCGGTGTCCATCGGTTTGTCTTCATCGACCGAGGGAAGCTCGAAATCATCCTCACCAGAGCTCGAATCATCTTCGCCAGAGCCGATAGAAGAGCCTTGAGGATTCTCAAAATCATCGGATAGATCAGCATTCAAGTTGCGGTTCGACGAGGCTTCCTTCCCCGAATCCACTCTCTGTCTTTCTTCCCATTTCTTGAGGGATTCGAGGTGCATGGCTGTTTGCGGGTGACTTTTACAGTTACCGCGACCCATCCAGGTGTGTTTGAAGGTTCCGACATTGCATATTTTGCATCGGACTTCATTCGGATCGGCAGGATGTTCCTCATAGACTAAGGCAAAACGGATGTTAGAACACAATGTGAAGTTAAGATGACGAAGGCAGACTTACTCTCGTTTAAAGACAAGCGATGACGACCCATTTCAAAAGTCGATGAAGGTTTAATGGATCAAAAGGATTGCACTGAACGAAGGAACGACGTAAGAGTTGGATGTTGGCGAGCTAGAGGTTGAGTGACGTTGATTTATATCCTGAAGGCATATAGTCGCTTTGATTGTGGAGTTCGACGAAAACAAGAATTGTGGGCAGAGTAGAAACAAGACCAGTAACAAAGGTTTTAGAAAGAAATTGTTCACGGCCTTTGAATGGAAGAAGCGTTGAATAATCGGTAAACAAGGGTCTGCTTGTGCAGATGCAGACAAAGCCCTGGATATTATTAAGGGTCAAAATGAAACCCAACAAGGGTCGAGGGAAAACAATAGACGAAAGAAATTGATCTAGCGAGAAATGTCCTTTTTGTGGCACAACAAGATATCCAGAATGGGGAGTCACGTTGTTGCATTGTGGTGCGTTCCTTGATTATTATATTCACTTGTGGCTCCAAGGTGGCTAGCGCAGCTTGCAGTTGCGTTGCATTCGAATAGATTCGAATTCGCATCTGCACAAGTGCTATTGTCGTTTGCTCTCTATTATGGTGATCCGCGGAAAGTCTGGAAGGCCTCATTCAGGCGGAGCCTGAAACTCCATCAGAAGATGATTTGTCAGCACATTGTCCGTTGTACAGTTCCGACGTCGCATACGTCCCTTAAGAAAGTCTATACCTCGAGACTTTCTCTGTATCAATAGTCTACTTCCTTATTTACCCCATCACTTCCAGCTCGAACTATGTCGGACGGAGAAGAATGGGAAGACGAGCTACTTGCTCTCGCCACTCAAGATGATTCGAAGAAAAAGGCCTCCAAGAAACGCCGCAGTTCGTCCTCTGGGAAGGAACCGTCCTCTAAGAGGCGGAAGGCAGAGTTAGTCCTGATCTTACATTTGCGATAATCCGTTACTCATCTAAAAACGATAGCATGAATGTCGAATCAGATTCTGACATGGAACCTGAAAGCGAAGAAGACGATTCCAATCCTTATCCACTCGATGGAAAGTATAAGAATGAAGGAGATAGATCCTGGTATGCAGTCTCTATAATGGTCTAGCCACCTTGGCTGATGTCCGTAGGCTTATGGGACTCCCTGAGCTGGAACGCGAGGATATCCTTGCTCGTCGCATGGAGGAACTGCAAGAGCGTTATGAAAGCCAGAATCTTGATTCACTGATCAAGGCGCAAAATGGGAAAAGCGGAGGAGATGCTGTGGCTCATGCTGCTAAACGTAAGTTGTTTCTCAGTGCGGATGGGTTTGAGTTGGTACTGACGTACTGTTTCAGGCAAACATACCGCTCGTGGCTCGACCAAAGAGAAGTCTCGCAAGCTGGATGAGCTGAAAGCTAGACGGAAAGCGAAAGAAGATCGGGCTCGCGTAAGACTATTTTTCTGACCTTTCTTACTTCGGCTTACATCTCTCTTTAGAATCGAACAGAGAAAGCAGACTCTCCGACGGACCGCAGAAGAAGCTCTTCTTCTGAGCCTGAACTCTCCGATGTCACAGATGAAGATGGCGAGATCAACAAAGACGAGGAGGAAGACGGGAAGTATCGCGACAAGTTCGAATCTCGGCCATCGGACAAGACAGATCTGAAGCCTTCGTATGATGATTTCCAAAAGTTGCGTGTGTCGCGTCATCAGATATCCAAATACTATTACAATCCATGGTTTGAAAACTGGATAACCGGTAAGTTGGCAGTGCCTTCTCGAAGTCCTCATTAACAAAATGATATTAGGTTCATGGGTGCGGTATTTGATTGGCGCTGATGAGACCACAAGGCAGCCTATATATCGAATCTGCGAAGTATTAGGTATGTGCTTGCTTATGTTTAGCACGGACCTAGTGACTTATTTGTTGTGTAAGGGGTTGTATCTAATCCTGTCAAGGCGTACAAGGTCAATGACATTGTTGTCGACCGCCTCCTCGAGTTGAAGCATGGGGACGCCGTCAGATCCTTCCCTATGGACAAGATATCTGATAGTCCGTTCTCGCAGGTAAGTAAAGATGCATACATGATCCCCCTGCGACGCCTGACGGCCATCTCAGAAGGAGTACGAACGCATTATCAGAGTTATGGAAGACGAGAAGGTTGAATTTCCGAGCCGGCGTTCGATACAGCGGAAGGTTGAGCAGCTGCGAGAGCTTCCTCGTAGGCCGCTGACCGAGGTGTGTCCTAACACTGTGCTATGTCTGCTGTTATTAATGTTCTTCGCAGGCTGACATCACAGCCATGATCGCTCGCAAGAATGCTCTAAACCCATCCAGCGTTGCCGCGTCACAAATGTTCAACACTCGCGTAGACCTAACCCAGAAAAAGAACCTCGCTGTAAAGCGCCATGACTACAAAGAAGCGGCTGCTATCGATAAAGAGCTCCAAGAGCTCGCCGCTGCGCATCCTGATCAACGCAAAGAGCAGGCCAAAGATACCCAAGCGGAGCTACTAGCCCGCGTTAACGAACGCAATCGCAAAGCGAATCTCGAGCAGATCCGGAAAGCGGAAGCGGAAGCCACAATACGCAAGCGTCAAGAACGACGAGCCATAGCTGCTGCAGCCGCTGCAGGCCTTGCGCCTCCAGCTCCAAGCGACGTCAGTGCACGTGTTCCAACCGTAGCGAAGACACACCATCAATCATTATCAAGGTTGGTCATTCATATTCTTGTTGTACACTGAAGTGAACGTTCGCCTTCTTTTCACCTTTCTTGTGCTGTGTCTCTATCAGGGTGAACACGCCCCTGGGGACACCCAAGTTGGGGGACAGTGATAGCGCAGGCAATCGATCTATCTCGCCGTTGCCGCCATTAAATGACATTGAAAAGGCAAATACGCGCCCTGCGAACGGGACTTTGGAAGCGAAGATTATTGATTCGATCCAGATTGACCTTGGCGATTTCTAATGCGATGAAGTTTTGTGTGTGAATTTGCCTGGATTTTATAATTCGTATTCGCTTTGTCTCTTTCTCTTCTTGCTGATTGTATCTTGGAGGTCTTGCTCGGTTGTTTTTTTGCAGGTTTACTTCTTTTCTCGCAGTCTTTGAAACGCATTCGCATACACAATCCAATTTATACTCGGTTCATACATACGAACTTATTTATCTCTCAGTCTATATATATCATGTCTGGTCTGTATTATTTAGAATTTTAAAGGGTGCAGTCGCTCTCCATTGTGTTTTTAGATTGTCAAACTGTGTGTATGAGTAGATAATTCGTAATAAACAGATTTTACTAGTATGCGTCATGACCGTGTCTGTTCTGAACTGTCAAATTAGCAAGCCTGGAATGCGATGAATCAAGCATCTAGGACCGTTAAAAAGTGAAATAGACGCCGTGTCCGGGGACACTTCTATCCCATAGACTTTAAACCGATACACACCATGAAGTCATCGTTGTTCCAAGGCAATGGATACAAACCATAGCTGAATAAATACAAAAGAGCCGGGCATGGCCAAGAGGAAGACCTATAGGTTAATTGGCATTGCGAGAGAATTTTAGACACTTGTGGGATACTGATCAAGGGCATTCGACTATCGCGGGAGATTAATATTTGTTCAAAGAACAGAAAAACAATAGACCACAAGCGCTTCAAGGTACAACACAGGAAATATAACGGAAATCGGAAATATTGATAATAAGGTGATGATTCAGAGAGTAATGAAAAAAAATGTGGCAGGTCCAGCGATTTGTGAATCCTATGGAAATAAGGATAAAGATAAATTCCTCCAAAGAAACACCACTATCATTAAACATGTGAATAAAATAACTGGAACGAATCGCTGTGTAAAACGTTAAAATCTCTCAGGCAGAGAATTGAACCCTGGTCTCGCGCGTTGTAGAGTTGAACCCCTTGACAGACGCGAATACTAACCACTATACTACCCAAGATACTGAACTAGACCCCGTGATAGGATGGAGCCGGAGCGGACCATTCACAAGGAGAGGGAGGAGGGCCCGGACGTGGAAAGGGATGAATCTGCGAAAGCGTTGGAGCCGATCCTACCAGCAAATCTGAGTACGTTTCCCAATAGGGGTCTGTGACTATCCTGCGCCCAAAAGCTAGTTGGTCACTATTTCCTCGATCGGGTATTACTTGTTAAGGATAGTACTTTTTCATTGGAAAAATCTCCGAACGGTGAAAATCAGAAATGCACTATGGAGATAGCGATCCCCAAAAGGCTCGATCGTGTATTTAACATCGAAAAGATATTTTTTAACTGATGTATCATTATTAGAGCGTACCAATGTAACGGAGCATCCGCGATGGGGAGGCATCCGCTTACCATTTTTATTGGCGCGGTAGCTCAGCTGGGAGAGCGACAGACTGAAGTTAAATCTGTGACGTCTGAGCGACTGAATGACCGGTGAGATTGAACCTGAACAGAAACACGGGTGAGGTTGGAACCAGGTGAGCACGACGGAGAGAAATCTCTTACTGGGTGAGGTTGAACAGCGGTAATCTGTTGGGTGAGATTGAACAAGATTGGAACAGCCTGAGCGTGACGGTGAGGTTGAACAGTGGTATCGTGATGGGCGAGATTGAACCGGTGAAGTTGAGTTGACCTCATGACGTTGAACAGAACAGCCTGAGTGGCTGAATGACACCCTCTCGGTGAGATCGACGAGGCTGAACAGTGGCCATGGAACCGGTGAGGTTGAACAAGATGGCCGGATGACCTCTTACCGGGTGAGACTAAACAAGTGAGGCTAAACCTCTTACTGGGCGAGGTCGAATACAACGGACGAGGTTGAACAGCACCTTACTGGGTGAGGATGAACAGTGGTGCCGGCGAGAATGAACCTGACTCCGAAACCCTCTTACTGGGTGAGATTGAACAAGAATCAAACCTCTTACCGGGGTGAGGTTGAACAAGATCGCCTCTTTCGTCGAGATTGAACAGCGGCCGTGCGCGTGACGGGTGAGATTGAACATGAGTCAGATGAGGTTGAACAAAAGGTGATGAGTCCGTGAGATTGAATACAACATGGGTGAGGATGAACAGCGCCGTGATGGGTGAGATGGGCTAAACGGGTGAGGTTGAACAGACGGGCCGAAAACCTCTTACAGCCTCTGCGGGGGCGTGAGCGCCGTTCTTGGCGGGACCTACGGGCGCCTATTAACGTCACGCGGCTCGCACCCCCGCCGCGGGATTGAACATGCTGCGCGGGAACCTCGCTGCCATTCAACCCCATAATATTTTGGTAAATCCTTTCTATTGTGTGTTTAATTTTTGACAAGCCTAATTATCTGCTACAACCATGGTTGGATCATAGGTCGTTTCTGAACAAAACCATAACGTCTAAGACTCAGAATACCTTAAGCTTGGGCGAGATGGCATATATCGACCAGCGACCGCGGATTCTCTTGTGCATGGCGTACTGTGCGCACAAAACAAATATCTTTCATTCGGGGAGCAAAATATCTCATAGATAACCTCAAAAATAACATAAAAACTCTCAGGCGAGGATTTGAACCCCGGTTTCTCGCACAGGCTTGAACTTCGACTTTAAACCCTTAGTCTGGCGGGCGTGAATACTAACCACTATACTACATAAGATATTTCTGTATAGAAATACGGTTCTATTCCCCAGATCCAGGAATTGCTAAGGGAGGGAGTCAGGGCTCAGAGGTAGCGAGGAGCTGAGATCGACCAGAAGCTAGTTTTCTCAGAATCGAGTAGATACTTACACCGGCAAGACTGCAGGTCCCTTCTCTTTTCTATCCAACTGTAAAAAAAAAAACGATAGTCAAAAAACAAAATCTCTCAGGCGGGGAATTGAACCCCGGTCTCGCGCGGGCTTTGACCTTGGATTTAAATCCTTAGCCTTCGCATGACAGGCGCGAATACTAACCACTATACTACCTAAGATGGGTTACAAACATCATTAATGCCAATTGGCTCTACACCCTTTGCCAGCTACACCGAAATTACCAATAACTTATAAGGCAACGAGAGGGTGATAGAGAGATACATATTCACGGAATAGGTCAAGCCTGCCAAGCTGCAAATATGGATTCCCCTACAAACCAACTAAATATTCAATTTGCCATCCCAGATTGTGAAAGATGTTCCCAGACTCTACAACAAAGGTTTCTTGAGCTTATAAGAACATGTTCATATATACAACGGACTTACATAAATGCAGTATGCCCATTCAATGAATAAATTAGACTTTATCCAGCTAGGACACCCAAATATGCAAGGGTTACTCAATATACAGAGAAACCACGGTGGGTTCTGCATTCATGCTGTTGAATCCATTGCATGGCCACTTGAAGTCTCCCCGAATTCTGCAAATTTCGAAGATCCTCAATATACTCCAGGTCATCTTCGAATGTGCTAGGCTTATAACAGAACATCAAGCTCTCCAATGCGCATCCGAGTCGTCGACGCCCAGGATAGTCCAAGCGAGACCAAACCACATCCATGACTGTTTTAAAATCGGTTGGATATAAATAGTCCAATCGTAGGCTTCGCAGATTAGGAAGAATGCACGACACTGCGTAATGTCGTGGATTGTCGTCAATCACTAACCGTTCCAGGATTGCATCGCGGAGTGGGGAACTCGCATAGTTGATATTCAATATTTCTATTGACGGCGTCGCCCGCAAAAGACGTATTGACTCGGCGATCGACGTGGTAAGGTTGAGTTTCAGTAGATTGCACGCGGACCGTTTGAATAGAGAAATGAGGTCATTGTGAGCGTTTGTCGAAATAAACAGTATACTACTGTGACGACAAACTTGGAGCTCCGTTAGGTTAGAGAGTACCAGGTAATTGATAGAGTCTGGATCTTCACCACCGACACATAGCTTTCGTATCTGGGGAAGCTTGAGCGGCACTAGATCGACCCTTTGAGGCTGCTAGGCTGAGTCAGGTACATTTAGAGATAAGTTCTGAATGTTCAGTGATTCCAGATTTTCAGCAGCTCGCAGAATTTCGAGGTATGAGTGGAGATTCGTCGAAAATCCCAGTTCTAAGTGAGTCAGTTGGGACCATATGTATCCATCAGGGCCAATCGATCTTTGTATCTCTCCCCGATAAAGTGCTAGCCTCTTCAACTTGGGAGTATACCCAAAACCCCACGCGAGGCTATACATATTGCCACTAATCGTGAGCGACTCCAGATTTGACATATCCGCCTTAGTAAACCAAGTAAAATTTTCTTCCATGTCATCAAATGTGAAGGAAGCAGTTCTCCAAAGATGAGAAGAGGCTGTAAATATTTTGTGAATCCTGGCCACACGCTCTCTGTATACCCGAGGAGCAACATAGGTAAGGTCGAGCAAAGCACCTCGACTTTGTATTAAAGCTGTCTCAAAAATATCAGAAACCACATCAATTTGCCAATAGCGGACTTCCGTCACGGTCCCATTGAACTGTATACGGGACCACAGAGATGCGCACGCAAAGCCGACGGCCCGCCATCGCTTGCAGACCGCCGTTAACGTCCAGGCAAAAGTACCGTATTGGGTAACCGGACCTGCTGATTCCTCGAATATTCGCGTGAGGATATCGTCAGGCAATCGTCGAATAGGTGCGAAGATGGCCCGTTGGCGGAAGATGTATTCCTTGACATGAGCCTGCGCAGCCCTTAGGCGGCCCATGGTAGTCATCAGAAGTTGCATGTCCTTTTGGTAAGATACCATATGGTCATTCGCAGTAGAAATGAGGCGCTGAAGCTCTTCTTGCTCTTGTGCAGAGGGGAATCCTTGTTCTGTATGAAATTGCAGAGGAAAGT